AATTTCGTTGACTGCGTTTGCTCCTTGGAAGCCGGTCACTAATTAAAAATGCTCATATCTTATTGTCTCTATCCGGTGTGGGAGAGACCTAAGCCATTTCTTTCACAATTTTTCAATTCACTAAATCAAGATGAAACTTATATATTTTTTTTTCATTTTTTTTTTTTTTTTGAAGAAAGATATCGTGAGCATGAATTCCAAAATTCACAAAACAAATTTTTTATTCAAGTATAACCAGGTGGATTGAATTATGATTGTTTCTAGAGTACTTTCTTTGAAAATTAATGCCAAAGATGAAGTGTTATCTAATGCATGAAAAAATAAATAAACGTTGAAATAATGTATTTCTAAATTTGTGTAGTACTTACAACTTTTTTCTAACTGTATACTTTAAAGACTCCTTTAATAGTGCCTTAAGGAAACAAACGGATACTACTAACAATGTTGTATAAGTACTTTGCAAGGTACTTGGTGCAATTATTTTACAAATCTTTTATTTTTTATTATTTTACAAATCTTTACGCTTTGATTATATTAATTTCGTGTTTCAAAATTGTGTCCAAATTTTAAGCTCTAGCCTCATGAACACCTAATTTAAATTTTTTTCCCGGACATAACTTTTTGAGTAAATCGAACTAAAAAAGAAATTGCATATAGAAAAAATATATGAAAAAGAGGGTTATTTCTCGTGTGCATCACACTCTCAAATAAGACCTATTTCAAATGCATTGAAGTTTTTCACATGTTAAACAGAGAGCAAAAAGAACTGGCCAAATGTTATATCGATGTCAATAGATGTAACTAATATCTTTTGTTTAATAGAATCATGAAAATCACTTTCAATTGCTATTATATGGGAAGGAAAGGAGGAGTTTAGAGAAGAGGAATATAAACTGGAAGTGACAGCAACAGTGGTGGTTGATAGTTGTGGTTGTGCGGCTAAAATGAGCTATAAGTAATATAAGACAATTTTATCAATGATCTAAATGAACCAAATTTATTCAAATAGTGTTGTCGTTAAAGAAAAGGAAGAAAAGAAAAAATCAAAGACACATTAGGAGTTGAGGTCTGAACGATAAATAAGTGAAAACAAATAATGCAGCTTAATTTTATTTGTCAAAATTGTGTGAAGTATAATTGTCATTTAATTTCGGAATTTTTACATACCTATACACTATTGGAAACTTTATTACCCTCTCTACTCAAGTTTTAATTTAATTACCTTCTATATACAAATTTACCAATTATATACACTTTAGAAATTAAATGAGTATCCCTTTATATTAGGAATCAATTATTTCTCATCCTTATTCTCTCTCCCTCATGCTCTCTCTCTCTCTCTCTCTCTCTCTCTCTCTCTCTCTCTCTCTGTATCTCTCAATCCCTAATTCCAGTAATGTAGAGCAAAAAAAAAAGAGAACAGCAATTCCACCATTGACAGGCATTAACAAAGCTTTAAATTCGAATTTGGGTTTTCAAAAAATATTATTTGTTTGAATTGGGTGTTGTTGCATACTATTGGGAATTCGCTCTACGTCTCTCTCTATCTCTCAATTCCTAATTCCAGTAATGTAAACCAAAGGAAAATAGAGCAGCCATTTCCACCATTGACAGCCATTAAAAAGCTTTGAATTCGAATTTGGGTTTTTAAAAACCATTATTTGTTTGGATTGGGTGTTGTTGCAAACAATTGGGAATATGATTTGGAGTTTATATCTCAATTTTGAGGGTGTTTTGGTGAAGATTAGACTTGATTTTGGCTGAATTTCATATTGAAACTCGAAGAAGAAGACGACATGACATACATTATACTTACGAAATTGTAGTACAGTTATAGTAAAATTGTAGAAAAATTATATTCTATTGTTTATATATATATTTTTATTTAAATATTGTATGAAAGTTGAACAATATTTGTATAAAAATTGTATTTAAGTTGTATGATATTGTAGTTGTCTATAACTGGGTAGAAATAATGTATGAAAGTTGTAGATAAATTGTATAATATATAATTAGTTGTATGAAATTTATTTTTACTATGTACAAATCAAATACAAAATATACAAAAGACATTGTATAAAATTTGTATAAAATTGTATTTAAGTGGTATGATATTGCAGTTGTATATAACTGGGTAGAAATAATGTATGAAAATTGTAGAAAAGTTGTAGATAAGTTGTATAATATATAATTATTATGTATATAATTATACTTGTTCATTGATGGCTTTTTTATACACCTTCATGATGCTATAAATATATGTTGTAACGCTTCTGAGAGCCATAATTTCCATCAGAAAAAACGACTGTTGCACACAGATTAACCCTGTTGAGGGTATGTTTTAGGAAAATAAGAGGCAAGAAATAATATCACTGGGTGCTAGAAAATTTAGACATGACCTTCAATACCAAACTAGACAAATGGTGAAATTAGTCTCAAGGATAGATAGAAGTTAATCAGCTGCATTTTAGAAGATGAACTTTAGGCTAGTTTCTTTAAAGGTTAACAGTTGAAGAAAGTAGCAGAACGACACAACGAGAAGTTTTTAATATGTACAAAACAATCACTTATATCATATCTTTGCTAATGGTGAAATCACTTTGGCTATCTTTGGCCAGAAAAGGAAGGATCGGTGTTCTTGGAAGATGAAAAGCAGATTATGCACAATTGAATTCGAATTTCCAACTCAAGCTATATGCATCAGTTCATACATGAGGGATAAGATTCTCTAAATCCCTAAATATAAGTTCAATCGGGGGAGAGAAGAAGGGAGAGAGGAGAGAAAAAAAGGAAAAGGATGTAGCTAAATCCCTTGATTGAAGGCACAAATAATGGATTGAGAGCCTTTTAGGTAAATTGTATATATTTTATAACTAAAATGTGTTTAGGTTCGGATAAATACCAAAACATGGACATTTTTCGTAATAAAGTTTCAAATAATGTATAAGAATGAAAAAATCCCTTTAATTTCTCCGCACAATAGAAAGCTAAACTTCTTTAAGTTTGGTTTCATTTACTAGTACCTTGATGGGCATGAAGTGCTTATTCCACCGCACTTAAATTTTACTTTATATTAAAGGAAAGTTTTATTCTTTAAGAAAGAATATTTTACGTGTTTTTTGTGTGTGGGG